TCATCATCTGACGTTCTGATGACATTGAAACTATACGGAAAAACATGTCTAACTTCCAATCGGGAAGGTATCTAATGAATGAAATCAGTCAGAAATAAAATTATCTATGTATCACGGGAATTACTGAGCCTCAATAACCTCAGGCAATTGCTGTCCCTCGGGCCAGGGGCCCTCGGGACGCAAACTTTGCCATCGGTAATTAAGGCCCTCATAATTCCCTTAATACATAAATAACTATAAGTTACCTATCTCCTTTATTGCATACGCGAGTAAAACAAGTAGTGAGGTACGTAGTTTTTGAAAGGTATCAGATTAGTATAGATGTAGTTTTCATTAGGTATTAGATTAGTATAGAGGTCAGATAATTTATACGACGCTATAAAAGCAGATGATATTTTATCATTGCTCATGTAAGATAGAAGTAGAGGCCATGGCACCATATCATGAGCATATTTTTATATTGAAACTATCATTGGGCACCAAAGAAGTGTATACGACCCTATGAAAGTTCAGAGAACTGGAGATTTTTCCCACAAACTACGTACTTAGCCCACTCGACTGTCTTGGTTTTTCCACACAAACTACGTACCTAGCCCACTCGACTGCCAATAGGGACTAAAAAAACAAAAACAAAAAAAAGTTAAAACAATGCCAACATATTTGTTCTTTGTGGGAAATCAAGACAGTCGAGTGAGCTAGGTACGTAGTTTGTGGGAAAAAATCAAGACAGTCGAGTGTGCTTTTTTTACTCTCTTTTGTTTTTTGTTTTGTTTTCTATTGGCAAGTGATTATCTAGGAACTTGTAAATTTTTTAGTTTTTTCATCGTATCTCCCGAACTATTGAATTCAGAGAAAAATGTTTTTTGTAGATTCTATCAAAAGGAATAATTTTGGTTCTATAACATTTTCAGATATTTTCAGTTGTTTTCGAGATATTTGGAATTATCTGAGAATAGTGAGAATAAAATTTTCAACACTTTTGTTCCATCTTCCAATCAACAAAAGGAAAAAATATTTCATGGTTCAGTGGAAGTCGATGAGCTTCATCTATCGATAATCTTCGTTTTTCAATATATCTTCATGGTACCCTATGGGTCGTTCAATTTTTTTTTTTCATATTTTTTACTTTATTTCCTGTACTATTGGGTTTACAGAAAAAATTACGGGTAATAATTTGTAGGAAATGTTCCAGTGGATAACTTTGCACTTCTGATAATTTTCGATTTTTCCATTTGTTTTCGATATTATATTGAATTGAAAGGATTACAAATTTTAATGTTTTGATTTTCATTTGTTTTTCCATTTTCCGATGTATGCACGAAAAAATGGTAAAATAATAATTTGTTGCGTCATCAAAGAGGCATACGGTGCATTTCTCAAATTTGGATTTAGTCTATTGGTTCAGGAGATATGTCGTTTTGAGCGAACCGTGTGTTTCGGAAAATCTCCTTGAAAAACCCACTTGAAATTTTCCGACCCTGCTCAATTTCAATAGGCTTCGTCTCTCCCTGATAGAGTTTTTTTTCACAAAAAATGAAATCGATCGGGCCACTTTTGCGTTTTGTAGAGTGGTTACAAGAAACTTCCGGTGAAAAATCGAAAAAACCCGGAAAAACCACCTTAGGGTTTTCCGATTTCCTTCATATTTTAATGACATGATATTGTTTTGAGTACAATAAGATGGCGAAATTTCAAGTCAATATGTCAAAGGGTTCCGGAGATATATCGATTTATGATTACCACAGACAGACAGACAGACCACACACAAAAACCAAAGTTGCTCAAAATTCGATGGGGATCATTTTCTCCAGAGTAACTATACCTCTATCTCGCTTAGTTTCCGAGATACTATTTTTGGCAAGGCCGTAGTATACTCCACTATATAGGTATAGCGTCGTATAACAAGCATTAAAATTTCAATGGATTTGTAAAAAAGTTTCAGAAAGAATGGTCAAAATCCAACTAATAATTTCGGAGATATGCGTGGACAAATACACTACCAAAAATTTGAATGATGTATATTGTTTAACGAGCACGGAATGATAGTGATTTTCCACGAGAATGAAGTTTGCAGCATGAGCCGTAGGCGATCCGATGACGGTCGAAATTTGCAGGAGTGGTGAAGTTTGTGACTTTATTTTCAATAAATATCTTTCTATTGGCTGTTTTGAGGTAGATTGTTCCTCATGATTTTAATATTAAAACACCATATTGTGGGGAGGTATATCATGCTCGGAATCATGTTTCCTATAAATATATTTTTTATGGTTGTTATTATATCCGATGTCAATTCCCTCATGTTGTGACTGTACAATAGTTGCTGACTCTGTGATTACCAACAAATAACAGTAATTTGATATATAAATATCAATTTGCATTTGGGTATCAGAATCCGGAAACGTCGCAAAAAGCATGAAGTTATACAGGGTGTCCCAAAATTGCTGGGACACAGATCTACCACGTGTAGAGGAGGTCAAAATAAGTTGATTGGACCCAATTTATTTAAGTGCCAAAATGTACCGTTTGTCCGTGAGAAGGGTTCAAAGTTCACTTGAAAAAAGACATTTTTGTACGCTGTTCATGAATAAGTGGAACGAATTTGATAAAATTTGGCAATAGTGTATTTCAGAGGATTACTTTCCTTTTGGTAATCTAAGAAACCTAAAGTAAATTGTAGAAGGGTTAAAACCACCCTCACCCCCTGACGTTTTCTTCAGAACTTTTTTAAGGGTCATGATACGGTTCTGAAATTTTTTGAGCTTGAAGACTCATCAATTACCTTCATTTTATCACTCTTGTGAAAATTTCGTATACCAAATAGTTTCGAAGAAAAAAAAAGTTCTCTCAAATAATGCTACCAGATATTCCTATAGTACAAGTTTAATTAAATTGTGATATAAAACTTAGTTGGCAGTGGAAACGCAGGCAAGTCGTGATTCCGACAGAGAACAAATTTATTGTCATTCAAGTTCGTTATTGACATTGTCTGTAAATGTTTCAATAAATTCTTCAATTTTGTTATTACCGCGGGTACCATTACTATAGGAATATATGGTAGCATTATTTGAGAAAACATTTTTTTTCTTCGAAACTATTTGGTATACGAAATGTTTACAAGAGTGATAAAATGAAGGTAATTGATGAGTCTTCAAGCTCAAAAAATTTCAGAACCGTATCATGACCCTTGAAAAAGTTCTGAAGAAAACGTCAGGGGGTGAGGGTGGTTTCAACCCTTCTACAATTTCTTTTAGGTTTCTTAGATTACCAAAAGGAAAGTAATCCTCTGAAATACACTATTGCCAAATTTCATCAAATTCGTTCCACTTATTCCTGAACAGCGTACAAAAATGTGTTTTTTCAAGTGAACTTTGAACCCTTCTCACGGACAAACGGTACATTTTGGCACATAAATAAATTGGGTCCAATCAACTTATTTTGACCTCCTCTACACGTGGTAGCTCTGTGTCCCAGCAATTTTGGGACACCCTGTATATCTATCGAAATTATACAGTGTGGCCAAGGTACGGTTGCACAACATGGGAATTTCGGAATTGGTAGGAGATGCGAAGTCGGTTAGATGGCAAAAAGTTGTACATTCAGTGGGTCATTTCAATAGCTTCAAAGAATTTTTAAAATTACCTATAACTTTACAGTTATATCGAAAATAGTGAGTTTTTTTCTACGTTATTGCGGAGATGCAAAAAACTGAAAATACTCTTCCAGAGCAACTTTTGATGCGACGTTTCGTATTCGTATCCAAAAAAAAAAAAAAAGCTTTCAGAATCTGTGAACACATAATCAGGACGGTATTTGAAAAAAATAAATAGTTGATGATGGTTCTATGATTTCGAAACATCGCATGGAGAAATCATTATCATCACGTTGAATATCATCAAAAGTTGATATGGAAAAAAAAACAGTTTTTCTGTATCGTCCACAATGGATTTGACAATAAGTAAAATTAATGATGAACATGATTTTTCAATTTTCCATAATCCTTCCCACACTGATATCACTATTCATAATGATTCAACACACCCCTATCAACATAAAATTGCAGCATATAATAGCTGTTTCGGAAGTAAATTTCAATAAAGAACTCAATATCATAAAACAGATCGCAGCCAACAACGGATACAACGTTAATTTGATAGACAGTATTCTTTCTAAAACACTTCATAATAAAGCTATTCAAGAAGTTCATTCTACAAGAATCAAGAATAATAATCAAAATTATAGAACTTTAACCCATTTCGGGTCATCAACTAAAAAATTTACTTCATTTCTACATAAACAGGACTTAAAAGTAGCATATAGAACAAATCACACGTTGGGAAGGTCTATGAAAAATAATAAAGACCGAAATTCTAAATTCTAACAATCAGGGTATACAAACTCAACTGTGGATCTTGTCCTAAGGTATATATCGGTCAGACCGTTTGTATGTTTAATCAGCGCATTCATGAACATTAGATGAATCTTTTGAGAAACAAAACAAATTCAGCATACGCCAACCATATATTAGAAGAAAACCATAGTTTTTATGATAATTTCGAAATTCTACACGTAGAAAATGAAGGAATGAAACTCAATCATTTTGAATCATCAGAAATCAACAAACTCAGAAATTCTGACATTTTACTTAACGATCAATTAGACCTCAATAGTTCATCACTGTTGAATTATTTGTTTTCTTAGTAGGTAATAATATGTATTTGCTACCAACCCTTATTTTCAGGATGGGAAAGAAGGATATATAAAAGTTGAGCAAGCCAAGGTTAGTTTAGTTCATTGTACCAGTATATCACCTGACGAAGCTACTGTGTTAGCGAAACATGTCGTGTGTTTGAGAATTTTGTGGAAATCTTATCGTTTGTGAAGTTTTCACGTTTGTGAATTTTTATTTTTCATATTCACTATGGATTTCCATCCAGTTACGGCCGAGACAAATATATATTTTTTAAGAAAATCATCGTTTTATCATCAAAATTTGTTTTCAGTTGGAGAAATGGAGAAAACCACATCGTCTTCAATATGGTGTCCGGGAGTTTCCCGGATTTTCTTCCGTCTATCGAGCTGGACACCGGCAACGCCATGATTGCTGGAGCGGGGTTCGACACTCTTACATTTCGACAAAATTTCGACATATCCTTGCCAGTATTCAGTCCTGCTGCAAAGTCAGCAGAAGTGAAAGATATAACACATGAAAGGTATGATGGTAAGATAGAGAAAGTAGTCCAAATTCAACATTTTCATTATTCCGATTATAATAACAGATATGCGAATGACAGCCAAATTCTGTTGCGCAAATTATTTACAAATGAATTTTAGCAAACTTGATTTGCTTATCGACTTCTTTCGCCAGTTCTGGGAAAGAATATGGTAAACAACATTTGCATGAATTCGTAGAAGTTCAATCGTGATTAAACCAGTTCAATAATTTGTTACATTAGTAACTATTTTTCAAAATCATATTTTTTTCACATATTTATTTTACATTTCAATTAGTGCTCGTGTCAAGATATGATATTTTTATGACATTCTTGCCTTATGCAACTAACAATATACGTGCAATAAACCAAATACATGGTTGAGCAAAAGTATGGAACCATGTGAATATCTCGGTAACCGTTTGTTAGATTTCTTTGAATATATGTACAGGGTGATTTCAAAACGTGGTAGATTTGAAAATGTTATCGTCGATGTTGCCACTCTTTTAGTTATTCCGGAATTCCATGTATAATATCGAATTCGAAGATTCTCCCTGGAAAGCTGATTTCATCGATTCATCACACTTGGGGTCTATCAAGAATGGAGCCTAAATGTCACAGTGGTTTGATTTCCACTTCTTCAAACTGGAAATCCCGTCGCACAAACCTTTCAAGGGCTTCTGAGGGTTACCTTAGTAGCTTATGTAAAATTAGTAAAATAAAATGAATGAGTTATCTAAAAAGAAAATAAAAATTGTCCTCTCCTGTTTTGAGTTGTCCCCAACCAAATGATTGGGCTACGACCGATCCTGATCCTTCAAAGAAGAATTGATCTGAAAAATTCATAATGACTTCCAGATCGTGGCTAGTGACGTCTTCCCAGCTCAACGTCGATCCCTACTTCCTGTCCGAACTCCAACAGCTCAAGCGCCGCCACGCCGAGTACGTGCTCGTGTTGAACGCTTGCCGGTCGCACGAGTACGCGCGAAGATGCGACGTCGACGACGAAAAGACTTACGAGTACCCGGCAGTGCTGCGGCGGTCGATTTTTTGCACGGTGTTCCGGGGCGAGCGGATGGGCCAAGTGGTGCTGTTGGAGGCGATGGCTGCTAATTGTCTGCCGGTTATAGGTGAGTGGGGTAGAATCATATACCTACTATTCCTACTAAACATATACGGATAACAAGGATCTCCAAGTGAAGCCAAAAAATAAAATAAATGACAGTCTGCGAGCGCAACTGTATTACAGCGCATGCGTCATCTAAAAATAAGAAAAGACATCAGTTTGCAAAATTCCTTTCAGCAGGCGATGGCTTTGTAATGAACATATGAGTATTATTAAAACTTTCGTGAAATTCACGACACAACCTATATTTTGTTATCTGAATCTGAAGCCTCAGACAAGAAATCATGACCGAGACTTCACTGGAATTCATATTTGCGAAGTTTTAGTGGTTTTGATGAAGCAAACAGCTTTAATTCGCGGTTTTGGAACGAGTTTGCTGAAGTTTTTTGTCTCAGAATACTTCGAATAATGGCCAACAAGTGCGAGACATTATAAACATACAAATGTACAGCTTCCCAACAGATGCAAAAATATACGAAGTATGGCAGAACATTACAAAAATTGGGAAGCCCATTTACAAATATATATGCCTGTCTGTAGCAGACACTTCTTAGAAACAGATTATGAAGGTAATTTCTTTCATTTTGAGAAAAATATATTTTCAGTGTTCTATGTAATGTGCTTTTCTTTCAAGTTTCAAGGGAATCCAAATACAATTGCAGAAGTAGGTACATTTTCTGTGACGCAGATTAAATACCTTCACAGAATTCACCCATTACAATGCATCAAATTGTAAAACCTGTGATCAATGGATATGAATGGGAAAAAGGAAGGCCACTTCCATGCAAAACTTGAATATGTCTTCAATCATTCTTCAGCTGAATCAACCAAATCATTCTCAGTTAGAGGATCGAATGAATCTGATAATGACAAAGATAATGGAAGGATAGAACTTGCTTACCAGAGTGCTGATGCATCTGCCACCAGGACTGATCATTCTTGTGAAAGTGCCTATGATGTTTCCATAGAAAAGACAAGTGCAATTTCAGTAGCCAATCTAATGAATTTTTTTTCACTTTTTCTGTAATAATATAAAATTCAATGAGTACCTACTCAATTTTGCTTTATCTCAACATATAAGTAAACCAGAATATGATTAACACTGTGAATAATTAAAAGCTTGTAATTCTACACAAGGAATAAGAATAAAATGATTATGAAATATCTCCATTATTCTCCATCTCAAGACCTTGCTCAAGTGTGATTTTGACAGTAATGGAATCTTTTCAAATGTTGTTCTTCCTGCTTCATTGTATTTGTATGTAGGGCAGTTAATTTGTTATCTGAAAAACAAATATCATCTCAGTTACCTATTTATGGAAGTTAGAAATTATATAAGACTTACAATTTACCAAGAATTTTCATCAACAGCATGATTAATTTTGTAGGAAATGCAACAGTTTCTTCAGTCTTTGTCTTCCTTTGATTGTAAAAGCTAGTATAGTGTTGTAGGATTTACTTCATACATTGCATCTATGCCTGACTGTTTTCACCACTTGCTTGGGTGTGAGCTTCACAATTGAATTCTTCCAGTTCTTTATATAAAAATGTGGTTGAAATTTCAGTAAGCAAAAGGATCAATCATGCATAATTGACTTCATGAGCAAAGACAAACCAAAGTTTCTCTATGGGCTTAGAGTTTCAAAGCAGCAGTAGTTTGTACAACCATCAGCCCAAAGATCTCAAGTTTCTGTATACTTTTCACTTCAACAAAATAACATTATTTCTTGCTTTGTATACCTGTTCGTCTTCCACCATCGACAGATTTTCAAAAGCACTCAAATGGCTGAAATTTCGAAATAAAAATGATTGAATTATCATAGAATCCAATGTGGAATGTGGTTCTCATTGTTTTCCCCATTCCACTGACAGCTTTGACATCAATATCAATGCTTTGCTATCGGAAGAATTCTCGCGGAGGAATATTATTTTCAGAGGTATCGGTAAGAAACTTCAACAACATAACAATATTTAAATAAAATTTGAATGAAATTCGTCCTCCATTTTGACTCGTGATTATGACAAATCCCGCGCATGCGCAAATAGGTATTTTAACTTCACTTTTGACCATGGAAACATAGGTTGTTATCCATATATGCTTAGTAGGTATAGGGGTAGGATGGACGCGTGGCTTTTCGTATGTAGTACTAGCAGACCTCGCAAACCTTGTTCTGCTATATACATTATTTCTATAATATATTTTCTCAGTTCAACCCCAATTCAGCACTACTAGCGCTCTGCTCAATGTAGCTGACGATTTATTCAGATCGATCGACAATAACAACGTCTGCTGCCTTATTCTAATCGACTCTACTGTAAAGCATTCGACACTGTAGATCACAACTTAATCTGTAAAAAAATGACATATTTTGGCTTCTCAGATGATTTCGTCGATCTTCTGAAAAGTTATCTTTGCAATCGCAGACAATGTGTCATTCTTGGAAGGGATATGTCTGATACAGTACATGTAAAATTTGGTGTACCTCAAGGTTCAATCTTAGGACCTCTTTTGTTCTCTATTTATATTTCTGACATATACAAAATTACTAGACATTGCAAAATATTCCACTATGCCGATGACACACAATTAATTTATCAATTTCTGATCGATGATTATAATGATGCATGCAGCTGCATTAATACGGACTTGGAATCACTGTTCAATATTTCCAAGGCGCACAATTTGAACTTGAACGCCAACAAATCCTCCGTAACTTTTTTTGGCTCCAAGAATAAGAGAACGTTAGCTTCACAAAGGATTGACATTTATATGAATAATACGAAGGTACCGACAGTAGATAAATGCAAAAATCTTCGCTCTTTGTGCCGGAGCTCCTACTGTACTCTCAAAAAACTATTTTCTCAACGTGACATCCTACCAAAGCAAATTAAAATTAATCTCTGTGAAACTTTGATATTCTCCTAGATTGCCTATTGCGACTCTGTCTATGGCCCTGCCTTACTTGCATCTGACGCAAGGAAACTTCAACTCATACAGAATACTTGTGCACGTTTTTGTAATGGTTTGCGCAAGTATGACAGCGTAAGTAGACACATTCAAGAAATTGGTTGGCTAAGATTCGACAAAACACGTGACTTGCATACTCTTTGTTCCGTAGACAAAATATTGAAAACCAAAAATTCTCATACTTGCTCAACAAATTAGTGCTTTCGGAAAGTAATAGAGTCACTACAAGAAAAAAATACTTCTTCATTATACCCAAACATTCCACAGCATTTTTCACTCGCAGCTTTTCGTATCGTGCTTGCAAACTGTACAACAACCGGAAACCGATTTTTCGCTATTACTCTATATTCAACTTCAAAAAGAAATTGAAAGATGTGCTCATGAATCACTGGACTGATAATCGTTGAGAACATTTTTTTGTTTCTGTTTTTGTTTTTGCTCATTCTTTCTGGAATCACACCAATACTTTCAACTAAATATCAATTACTCTTACTACCTCATACCATTGAGGGTATGATTCATTATCGGCTATTAGTTTATTACAAATTTATTCAACTCATTAGGCTATAAGACTTCGTGTACGACTTTCTGTCGAACAAAAAAATACACTTTTCTATGGTTCTTCTCTGGTGAAGTTCAAAAACAGCGTAAGCTGACACTTCACCATTTCATCACAGATACCTTTATATTTTCTAATGTATATTTTCTGATGTATAGTACCTACCTATATTTTTTTTTGTGATGAATAAAGACGATTTATTATTAATATTCATCAAGACACTATAATTATTTTGTTTTCTACTTATTTTTAGTTAAGCTATCTATAAAAGCGTGTTTCTTTAGTCTTTCAAACTACCATTTATTTCAATTTCTTTTTAGCTCACTTGTATTTCCCAATTTTGCCGAAAGAATCATAATATCCTAAAACCCCTGATGAAAATTTTGAATAGAATCGGAACATAATGACAACACTCGTCCGCAATATTGGATGTACCATCTTGAATTCACTAATTTTGACGAAGGAATCATTTTTGATCCCGAAAATGCCCACTTACAAATTTTGAATAGAATCGGTATATGTATAATTACAAAACTCGTCCGGTTTATTGGTTTCACCGTCTTGAATTTCCAAATCCCGACCTTTCCAAATTTTGTCAAAAGAATCATAATCTCCGACCCCGAAAACACCCAGATATCAATTTTAAAGAGAGTCGGATCATAATTACAATACACGTCCGCCATATTGGGTCCGCCATCTTGAGTTTCCTAATTTTGACGAAAAAATCATAATCTCCGACCCCGTCAAATCTTTCTGCTTTATAATATTGGTATAGAAATACAACAAGTAGATAGATAGATTGATTCTTCATTGCTTACAAAGACATTACAGTCCTAAAGCAAGGAATCGCTAAATTCTGATCAAATCCCTTGGATATGCTTACATGCATATGTGTACAATGCAAATTATAATAATTGACACTACATATTGTCACAAACTGTTGGCGGGGGTTGCCTAAGTTGTGTTCTAGATCCATTAGAGAATGAACTTCAAAAGTAGGAGAAATTTATCCGGTAAAAAATATTTTTGTGTCTGCACTGTTGCTGATGATACATAGTGTTTCTTTTCATTTATAGTAATGGATGGGCATGTGATGCCCTTTTCTACCATCATCGATTGGAAGCATTTCTCTGTATTCGTGAGCGAAAATCATCTGAGCACTCTGATGGAAGTGTTGAATGGCATTTCGGAGAAGAGAATTCGGCAGATGCAGAGGACTTTGCTTCATGTGTACAAGGAGTATTTCTCCAGTATGGAGAAGATAACTCTGACCACGTTGGATATTTTGCAGGATAGGGTGTATCCGCATTTGGGGAGGACTTACGATGTGATTAATTTGATGCCTGAAGAGGTGAGCTGAATCTATGTATAATAATATTTCGAAAGTATCAATGAAAAAATTGATGTCAATTATCAATTTCAGAGGATTTTCATTTTTCATACTCCCTTTTTGGATGTTCAACAGATATAATTCAATGTTCGACGTGGAGGAAAGTAGTTGTTTTCTGTTGAATATTCAGAATGATATTATGTGAATATTTTCATATGAAGGAGAATGCAAAATCCCTACTTGAGAAGATTTTGTTTTCAATTTCTCATCGTGTGTGTTCAATAGATGAAATTCAATGTTCGTCATGGCATATAGCCAGGAAAGTAGTTGTTTTCTGTTGAATAAACCGAGAAAGAATTGATATTTTCATCACATAGAGAATACGAATTTTCACTGTATTTCTTTATATATATATATATAGATCCTTTTTTTATGTTCATAATTATATCTGAGAATATTCCTTTTCAATAAAAAAATTGTGAAAACAGAATGATTGCTATAATCTGTTCTTCAAATATCCGTAGCTCTCGAGATATGTTATCAATGTTTGGGAAGAAACGGGTTTTCTTCAACTTCTGGAAAATCGTTTTGTTCAATTATTCCAGTGGCGTCCTAGCGGGCGAAAAAGCTGAAAATATCTCATGTCACAGTTATTTTTTAGGTAGCAATTCAAAATTTTTCATGCCGCATATCATTTTGTTTTCTATATATTTTTTCACTAACGATCTATAATTTCAATAACTTATTCCCTCAAATGTTTGTTTCAGAGGTGAAAGAAAAGTTGAACATAATCTGTTGAAAAAAATTTGGAAAATTTATTGAACATCCTGTTTCTCTAAAAATACGGTTTTTCAACAGTTGATGAAAACTATTTCCTCATTATTTGGAAAGAAATTCCTTGATGTTTTTTAAACAATATCAATGATACACCCTGTAGAGTCCGACTACGTTAACTTTGGGACACCACGCGACCACGTGCTGTTCCAAAGTTAACGTGGTCGGACCCTATAAATTACGTGTTGCACAATAAATGGCAATTTTTGTTCCAGATTAACCTGAACCCATTGTTTTTTCCTATAACCTCACCGAAAGCTCATGGTTTCACTGCTGTTATTTTAACATATGATAGAGTAGAAAGTTTATTTACATTAGTCGAAAGACTGTCCAAAGTTCCTAGTCTTATGAAGGTCGTAGTGGTATGGAATCATCAGAAAAAACATCCCCCTTCATGTAAGTAAAACTGAAAGGGTGAATGCCTATATTCAAAAAGTTCCTTACATTTTTGTTTTGTTTCATCGCTTCCTTTCTTCAATCATTATGTGCTTGTTAAATAATATAGTATTGACAGTTTCAAATTGTATCTCTACACCGCCTTTGATCCCGTTAGTTTTGGAGATAATTGATTGAAATTTGGAAGGACCCATCAACTTGATAAACGTAACGTTTTGACAAATATGTTTTATTTTCTACTCCCGGTGAAACCGGAAGTGGTAATAACTTTTGATTTTCAAACGAAACGCCCTATATATCATTACACTTCTGATTTCTGCATAATTTTCTGAATTCAGTAATACCACATAAGTGACATTTCAAACTTCAATATTGCTTTTGATTTAATTTTTGATTCTCCATTTATCAACAGGTTGTGGTGCTAGAACAAATTAAACCCTCTCAAAATCGTTAAATTACCTGATTTGAGTCCATCGAAATCGTTTGGTGTACTATGGTCCTGTTACACCCGGTATATCCGGTTTCTAAAATTATTCATATGTCGATTCTTTGAAAAATCCTTGCTTTTTATTTTTTTATGTCTCCTGTTATAAGCATTCATATAATTGTTTCTTGGGAATAATAATAGTTATTCATGTATCAAGGGCGTAAAGTTAACTTTTATGGACCGCAGCGTGTGAGTATGGGTCCATAAAAGCAAGGTACGCCCGGAATACATACAACATTTTATGCACGACCGTTTTTGAATACATTGAGAGTAGTCCACTCGAAATTACTGGAAAAACAATGAAATTACTTTACCGCTTGCCATACTACTTTATCGTCTGCTGTACTCCCTTATCTCTCTAGGGCGCTAAAGTGCTACTTCACGTCTGCGAATCCGGGAGATAAGGTTCCACTTTGAGCCCGGTCCTGCATAAAGATTATTATGTTTGTTTGACGTACGAAATTGTCAAATGCCAAAATTCCTTGAATTCCCTTTTTTCAGTATCTGCGTTTCCGAAAATTCCAAAACCAATAAATATAATCAAAACTAAGGCCAATAAACTGTCGAATAGATTTTATCCATATAAGGAGATTGAAACGGAGGCTGTTTTACATATAGATGATGATATTGTCATGCTGACTTCAGATGAAGTGGAATTTGCCTATGAAGTGTGGAGGGAGTTCCCTGATCGAATTGTTGGTATGTACAAAAATATTATACAGATTAGATGTCAAAGGATGGCATCTGGCAACATGGTAGCTACGGTTTCGACAATGGAGCTCTGTCAGCTAACGTCACAACATGGCGCACTTTTTTATCAGCTGATCGGGGACAACCAAAGCTGTGTGTGAATTTTTACTTTATCATTTTTGACCCATTGAGAAAAATGTGTATATGTTGTTGCAAACTGAGTATCTATTCAGTAATATTACTAGGTATATTAGGTATACAGGGTGTCCATAAATGGTCTGTACAAAATCTCAGCACATATTCTTGAGGTAAAAATAAGCCGATTTAAAACAACTTATCTCAGTCTGGAATTGCTCCGTTTTCGTGGTACAGGGTGGTCAAGTTAAAAAAATAAAATCGACAAGTACACTGCAAGAAAGTATTTTGAAAAGTCCATTTTTGCACTGCTAATTCACTGACCAAATTACATCCACGAAGGTAACAGCAAACATTTTTTATTCAGAATGATTTAAATATTCCGGTGAAGCATCGAACACAGACGAAATATTTCGAAATCGGCTTACTTTAGCGGATATTTACACGATTACTCTTTTTGATTAGAAGTGTTCAAGAAATTATTTCCCCGACGAAAAAAGTGAAAAACTACACTGAGAAAAAAGTTATGGCCATTCTTAACCATAAACAAGTGCATTAGTAAGCGCCCTCTAATGGTCACAGTGAAAAGGTGTTCATATTCGGGTTTCACATCTCAAAAATTCCCCGGCTTGAAGTAATACGTTTAAAAATGATCATTAATTCTGAAAAATACGATTTTTAGTTTTCAACTTCACCACTTTGTATCTCGGAAACGGAGCAATTTCGGACTGAGGTAAGTTGCTTTGAATCGGCTTATTTTGACCTCAGAAATATATGCTGAGATTTTGTACAGACCATTCAGGGACACTCCTGTTTATTAGAGCTGAACAAACCAATGTGAACTCTTCGTTGGACTCGATGACTTTTCTCACAGTATTCATGATGAATGAATTAACAAACATGTTAAAATAAATTAATGCAATAAATAAATGCTCCAGGTATTGTATTATAGTGGGAAATGTGCAAGAAAGTTACATGTACCCTTATGGAAAATGTTAATGCTTGCCTCCCCATCAGCTGTTCAATGGCCAACAATTTTACGTCATATGACGTCACTGACAGTGCTCTATTGGGCGCTTAATGAATTAAAGTTTTCATTCTGTTCAGATATTCCATTTAACGATTAGGCAAACAATTTGTATACCGTAATAATATCTGAAGTTTATTTCCAAATAGGATGACACCCTGTTTTCGACCTGAAAAACTCATGGTTTTATTCGCTACCTACTTCATTCTATGGTATCACCAAAAATCCTTAGTGGTGTCTTGATTTATCATTACCATTCATGAACTACTAACATTTTTCAACTTTGACGCATTCTTTCTATAAAATCAACAAATTTTGATGACTTCTTACATCCTCAAATTAACTACATTATTTCTCTATTTTATGAATTCTTCGTCTTTTTTCATATCTGAACTGTAAACAAATTGCCGGCAAGATATTATAGCTAGTCCACCAGCAAAAAGTGTTACATACATATGCGATGGAAGATTAAGTATTTAGCATTTCAGCTGATTTCTTCCTAGAGAATCAGGGATAGTATACACGCTGAATTAGGACACATTTTTACACCTTTTCCAATTGTAATTTAGAAAGCGTCAAGTGTAATTCGGACAATATCATTTGTAATTCAGATTAGTTAATTGAAATTCAGAAAATATCAAATATGTTATTCAGATTAGTCAATTTAAATTCAGAAAGAGTCAATTGAAATTCACAAAGCGTCAATTGAAATTCAGAAAGTGTCATTTGTGATTCAGAATGTATCATTCGTAGTTCAGAACGAGTCAATTGTTATTCAGATTACGTCATTTGTAATTCGGATTGGTTAATTGAGATCCAGAAAGTGTCAGTTGAAATTCAGATAAGTCAATTGAAATTCAGAAAATATAAATTTAAATTCAGATTGGCCAATTGATATTCAGAAATAGTTCATTGAAATTCAGAAAGCTCCATTTGTAATTCAGAAATATGATTGATACCTTTGCTTGTTGAGCCAAGCGTAATGAATGTAGGTAATAAATTACAAAGCAATATTCTTCTCGGAAATTACGTTTCCTAATATATCTTCGCCATGTTTCCTATTGAAATCGATTTCAATTGACCATCAATGAAAATAATTCCATAATTCTGAAGTCCCTGGTTCTACATGAATACCTTCACAAATCCATTAGTCCGAATTACAGTCGACACATTCTCAATAATTGCAATTGATGATATCTGAATTTCAATCGATGCTTTCTGATTTTCATTCGACTAATCTTACAATTGAAGTTTTCTGAATTTCACTCGTCTAATCCGAATTACAATAATTGGTATTATCTGAATTTATGTTCGCTGGTGCATTCTGAATTACAAATGACGATATCTGAATTGCAATTGATATTTTCTGAATTTCAATTAGCCAATCTGAATAACAATTGACACTTTCTTAATTTCCTTTGAGAAATCTGAATTACAAGTCACGCTCTCTGAATTACAATTGAAAAAGGTGTAGTTCATCAAATGTGGGTCGATCGAAAATCTCTTTTGCTTTTTGTAGGCTTTCCCTCCAGGACCCACATTTGGGACAACTCGAGCCAAAAGTGGAAGTACGAATCCGAATGGACCAACGAAATATCGATGGTCCTCACCGGTGCAGCATTTCTACACAAATACTGGAGTTTCCTCTACACGAACTTCTTGCCTTCCGAAGTCAAGGACTGGGCGGACGAACAGATGAATTGCGAGGATATTGCCATGAATTTTCTAGTTGCCAATATAACCAATAAGCCGCCTATCAAAGTAAGTACTTCAATGACTGTTTCACTATCCAACCATCAGAATCAAATTGTTCAAAGTTAGAGAGTATTGTTTGAGAATTTTATTGACACCATTTGACAGAAAATAAAACTTCAACGTGAAGAATTTGAAAAATATGGAACTTATGGTGAACACAAGTAAACTCAAGTAAACTAACAATCAAAACTGCAATCATGAATCTTTGAAAGTTGACTAGTCCATCTGTTATTTAAATTGAGAATTAAAAACTTAGCAGATAGCCATGGTTCATCTCACGTACTAATAATTGAGAAAATGAACGCATGTGCATTGACTATTTTTCGTGACAGTTGTCAAACAAATCTAAAACTAGAATATATAAAAATGGGTTATGTTTGGTTCAGTGGTTTCGTCAACAGTGTCAATTTTCCATTATTTTTTGGTTTCAAAACTTGAGTGACAAACAATACGATATGGGTGTGATAATCTCAGAGTGAGTAGTTCGAAAGAGAGATTTATTTACCTTAAGAGATCACATTTTAAGGACCTCTGCTTGAAACAGTTGCCAAATCTACAATTCAACAGGATTTTTCGGATAAAACATCATTCATTTCGGTATATATAGCTAATGGTATAATTTATTTATAACATAAATAAATATCCATATCCGTAGTAGACGAGCAATAATCGTTGTGAGAGATGTCATTTGTCGTTTTTGTTGTTGTTCATGGATTTCTTGCTTTTGTGTGATTAGTTTTCAGTGTACTATTTTGTGAATAAATATGGCTCGGCAGTGTCAAATCTGTAGAGAAATGTTGGTTACAAGTATTCTAATCTAGAACGTAGAAATGTATTTCAATGTCGTTCTTGTTTGAGGGTTTGCATTTGTTGATGAAAAGCGTGTTTATTGAGGTCCACTTGTCTAAAGCAATTTACAGTCGATTAAATATTTAATTCGTTTATATTCATGGCACCTTATCCCTTAGTTGATGAGTTAGAAGTAGGGCTGTGCAAAAGTATCGATATATCGATATATTATTATTGATATCTATGGATATATCGATATTTTTCATGATATCGTCATTCGATATATCGATATACATCGATATTTTTATTGTTATCGTTATTGGATCGGATACCAAATCATACACCGAATTGTTAGAAGTGTTCATTCGTCGTTAAGTTAACAGATAGATTCATGCAACCGGCCATGAAAATATCAAATAATCTCACCAAGACGTTACACAATCATGTATAATTATGTTACAAGACGTGAGAGCTGTTTTATTGATGCACATACACACATTTATAGAAATCCCGATTTCTCAGTTATATTAAATATAGGCTCCGTCTACACAACCGCCGCGGCGTTTTGAAACACTCTCTATATAGTCCATCATCAGCAGAATACATACAGAAAATTCTGAGATGAAGTATTGTGGAAATGACCGAATAAGGTAAACGTTTCGTTTCGTAGGTGACTCCTCGCAAAAAGTTCAAATGCCCGGAATGCACGAGCAACGAGATGCTGTCCGCCGACATGGGGCACATGGTGGCACGCTCCCAGTGCGTCGATGCGTTCACGAAAGCCTTCGGACGGATGCCGCTCAAGTCGGTGGAGTTCCGGGCCGATCCCGTCCTCTTCAAGGATCCGTTCCCGGAGAAATTGAAGCGATTCAACGACATCGGCAGTCTGTAGAAGCAATCGATTGCATCTTCTTGAGTGTTTTCAAGGTAGCAATAATCTGTCATTTTCCCGAAACATCAGCATATTCTCGGCATTAGAACAACTGGAAAATGTATGTCACTGATATTGATTCAAAACAAAAACAGAAAATTGTATTTAGATTTTGGACTGATGCCCATTAAGTCTCAAGTCGATAAAGATCTGGGCTGATCCCTTCCTCTTCAAGGATCCGTTCTAGGAGAAATTGAAGTGATTCAACGACATCGGCAGTCTGCAGAAGCTATCCATTTGATCTTCTTGAGTGTTTTCAAGTTGGAAACAATCTGTCATTAGCGTCATTGATATCGTCAACGTCCGCTCTGTCAGTGATAGCGGGATGTTGGAATGTATCTATACTATTTCTCGTTTTTCCCGAAATATCAACATATTCTTGGCATTAGAACAACCGGAAAATGTATGCCACTGATATACAGAGTGGGCCGTTGAAAACGAAACAGAGGCTCTGTAGGTCGCCAAAACCGGATTATAAAAAAAATCTGAAACACGTCAACTATATTTTCGAGGGGGACATCGTTCTAAAATATTTTCAGCCCTGCGGCGTTGCCGCTTCTAGAGAAAAGAAGCAACAACTTTATTATTTCAAATGGAACACCATGTATCTTATTGTATTTTTAGATTCTCCCCGAAGAGCTGATTTCATCAATATATCACACTTGGGGTCCAGCTGTAATGGTTTCAGGGATATAAAGTGTTCAAAATCGAGATTTTTCAACTTTAGCATTTTTTTGTGTCGAAACTATTCATTATTGGTCAAAACGGCTTTCATGTCCCTATCTCAACTTGTGATTTACTATCTACTAACATTTAATTGGAACAGATACAGGGTGATCAGAATTCTGAATCTTGAACCACCCTGTATTTGTTTCAAATAAATGTCAGTAGATAGTAAATCACAAGTTGAGATAGGGACATGAATGCAGTTTTGACCAATAATGAATAGTTTCGACACAAAAAAATGCTAAAGTTGAAAAATCTCGATTTTGAACACTTTATATCCCTGAAACCATTACAGCTGGACCCCAAGTGTGATACATTGATGAAATCAGCTCTTCGGGGAGAATCTAAAAATACAATAAAATACATGGTGTTCCATTTGAAATAACAAAGTTGTTGCTTCTTTTCTCTAGAAGCGGCAACGCCGCAGGGCTGAAAATATTTTAGAACGTGGTCCCTCTCGAAAATATAGTTGACGTGTTTCAGATTTTTTTTATAATCCGGTTTTGGCGACCTACAGAGCCTCTGTTTCGTTTTCAACGGCCCACTCTGTATAGGTAGTTCAATTGTCATTTTTAGACTATTGATTATAAAACCTAAAAATTTACATTCTGTAGATGGCACTAGATTACTTTTCTCACAGTTAACTTTGAACCCATGTCTTTCCAGAACATTCACTGTTTCAAAAACGTTTTTGGAACATTCAGTTGCAGCTTTTCCAAATATGAGAAAATCATCTAAATAGACGACACAGAATATGCCTTCAGACCTTGGGTAAGCAATTATTGGCTTTGATATCTTGGTGAAAAGATAAGGGGCTAATGACAACCCAAATGGTGAACATATAAAATTCACGATGTTCTTTGAACATTATAGGGATTCCCTTTCGGGCGCTCCAATCGATAAAAAAAAAAAAAAAAAAAATATAACTCTCCATTGAATTCAAATCTCAAGTATTTGCGAAACTTCTTATTCATGTTGATAGAGTAAATATGCATTTTTTAAATTAAATTGTAGACATATAACAGTTTTTATACACCATCCGTAACGCTGTTCGGATGTCTTCAAGTTTGAAATGTGGAGTTACTATAAATCCGTTCAACTTTTTTCTCAATAAATATGTTGATAAAAACTGCCCTTTTTTAGGTTTGCAGGTTCTAATTCCTTGCAGATCTAGGATACATCTTGTCATCTCCAATTTGTCCGGTTCCTGCAGCCTAGGACAGTGTGGTTTCTGTGTTTGCTTTGGCTTTTCTGGATCCAACTAAGTATCAAATTGTTCTGTGTAAGAATTCGCCAGTATCCAATTTTTTTAGTCTTATTTCCCCCTTGGGATTGTTTACCAACCTCAATTACCGTTCTGACCTCCTGCATGTCTTCCTCTGAACTTCTATTGAGAGAATGGTTGCCCTTCCTGCCCCAACTGTTTTCTCCGATAGCTGGACGAGCCTTTCCTGTTTGAAGGGTTAAATAACTTATGGCTTGATGCTGTTGCTGTCTGATGGTTTTGATTCCTTTGTAAAGGTCTTTTAAAAGATGTTGAAGGAGTAACTGTGGCTTAAATGTTTTTGCTGGATAGTTGTATTGCTTTTTGAGCTTGATATTTCTCAGTGAAATCAACACCAAATAGATATTCATCAATTTTGTTAGTCTCTCCCACATCTTTCGCCAATTTGCTGAGACCTGGAGTTATTTGGCACCTCCTATCATTTGACATATTGTAATGCAGATCTGTTAGTATCTTGCAAGCATCGCTTATAATTGGCAATAATGTCTGATTCAGACTCTTCTCTGCCACTATAATGTTCAAGGAAACTCCTAATGCTGTCAATCCTAACCCCTAACTGGTCTTTATATTGCAAGAAATATTTGTCCCGTCTCAAAACATGTGGGGCAATTACCTCTGCTATTTCAGGGTTCAGGATTGACGCCTTTAACTGTTTTGCATTTTGAGGGAAAGGGTATTTATCAAGTAATTCTTGTCTAGTTCCTTTCTCAAGACCTTCGGCGACAGTATATGTACCCAACGCGAAGCAATGTCCTCGTGCAAGTTAGTAGTAACATTGTTTGTACACTGGGGATCTGTCCCCAAGCATCTCAAAACCTCCTCATCGAGATCTTCATCTCTTGTTACCAACATATTTTCCTTGTCAATATCTGCCAAACTCTCCAATGGCTCAGCCGTTTCCACTTCTGGAGACCCATATGGGAGGCCTGTCTCTGCTTCCCCCTCTTCTTTCTGAAACTATGCTGGGCGAGTAAGATGGAGATCTGTCCTTAGTATGGTGCCTGTAATTTGGGGATGAGTCTCTCGTACTCATTTCCCCTTGTAAAACACTTTTTGACCTAGAAGATGCCGAGTCTCGAGTACTGCGATCAGATGTCGAACCTCGTCGTGTTGCGATCATCTCTCAATTCGGCACAGGACCTCTCCAGATCCCTTATCCTTTTTTCTATAGAATCCTTGGATCGAGACTTAGATCTTTTTCTTTTCTTTAAAGATCAGCCAATTCTGAAAAGGAAAAAGAGGTTATTTCCCAGTAAGATCCCTCGATTCTTACCCTAAATTATATTTTATTTAGCGAAATTTTCTTGGAACATGTGGCTATTTGAGCACAGAAAAGCTTTATGACATTAGACAGCGCATTGTCTAGCGGGAAACTGCTTCTTCTTTATTGTTTCTTCAACGTCGGCCTTTTTCTGCTACTGAGGCTAATCGCCGAATCCTCTGGTGTTCTAACCAGAGGTAGGGATCTTTAACGAGTCCAACATCCATGGCCTCGGGACCGCCGGCTTAACGTTCCCTCCGAAAGACGGCATATCTGTACCATATCTTGTGCTCATTGATATGGTAGCTGTAGCTATGATATGCTATTCCGCTACAGATGTACGGGCGTACGCGGCGTTTCCTCGAATGGTCACCCATCCAAGTACTAACCTCGCTCGACACTGCTTAACTTCAGATATCGAACGGCTAGTGCCTTACCTGAGAAGGTAGGTAGCGGGAAACTGAAATGACAGAAGTTGTATTCTTCTTTTTCTTACTTTGTTGCCAATTGAGTACAGAACTGGCTGTACTACATAGTGATCAAGAGGACGAGGCGCTGAATTATAATAAAAAATTATTCGAAAATGTTGAAATAGGGTCATTTGTGAGAAATATTTAAAGGGGAACATTTATTTAAATTAAACAATTTCAGAACCTGTTCAGCAAGTTTTTTGTACTATTAGTCGGGATTACTTTTCGGTTGAATAATGAGAAATCTGAAAATATTTAGTACTATCAACTATCATGTGGTACAATCTTACTATCGATGTACCAAACACCCTTTATGAATGGGAAATAGAAGCGATGAAATAATCATAAAATATCACAGTTAGTTGTGTATACGAATTCCTCAGCAATGATAGTTGATAAAAAATTGTTGGCCAACCAAGATGTTCGAGCAGATACATTGTGTTCAGTAGAGAAGGCCAGATGGGGAATACATTTTTTTCTCTCTCAACGCCATCTGAACTGCTCTATATTGAATCAACTCCAACTGCTTCGCGAGGGAGAGAGAGAGATAAGTTATTATATGGTTATTATTTTGCTAGTCCTTGTTGGTTACGATGGAACACGTACAGGTTACGCTCTGCCTGCAGCATTTACTGTACGAGATGAAAAAAACATCGAATGTGTGGGGTTGCGTTTGTACTATCTTTTGGCATGTCTAAAACAAACAATTGTCAATCACAAAATCATACAGGGTGTTCCTTAATGACATGCTAATATTCTTGGACCCATTTCAAAAATAAAACTTCATATGAATGTCGTAAAATTCCTAGCTTTTGAGATACAGGGTATTAAAGTTGAACATATACAGAGATTTTTTTTGTCCACCCTGTATAGCTTTTCCTGATGACAAAATTTATTCTGCTATGTGACTGAAACGGTGCGAAAATTTCAAAATGTTACATACTGTGGTTATCCAGTAATGGATGTCCTGAATGGAGTACTCAAGCTTAGCATTTACATCAAAATTTGAAGTTTGATTTCGTTTTTTTCTCGAAAACGGAGCGTCCTATCGGGTATCAACAAGAGGATCTTTTTTGTTCAAATTTGCATGACTTTTTATAGCATTTTATTAAATTTGGAAATATTCCTTCGTTGCTCACTTTCAAGTATACTATAATCCAGGGGTGCTCGGACTTACAGTGCCGGCGATCTGTCACAAAATATTTAGGTTAAAAGCGATCGACCAACATAATGTTCCTAAAAAAACATACATTTACAAGAATATTATTTATTGCACTTCAAAACAAAACATACATATAAGAATAAGGCACAAAATGTCAATTACTCTCTGGACGTTGATGCATGGCACTGCATATCGTCGGCGTACTTTTCATAAGACGGAACCTAATTACTAAGTGCCAACCGCAAGCATGACGTCAGGTGTTCGTCAGTAAGCCGATTGCGATATTTTGATTTAATAATTTTCATTTCTGAAAATGCTGAATTACACAAATACGTTGATTCGAACAATCCTGTCAATTGAAGAGCTACCTCTTTCAAATTCGGGTATCTTTCTTGAGTTATAAAATACCAAAATTTTACATCAGATGCTCTGGCTTGAAGATGTATATCGGAAATCATCTGTAATACCTCATTTTGAATAGAAGGATTTTCCATACTGAAAGTGTTCGATACGTCACTAGAAACTTTTCCGACATCTTCGCAAGAAAATGGATAACTCATGAAAGTGACAATATTTTTCAGTTTGTCGAAATCAGAGAATCGTCTTTCAAACTCGGCCTCGTAAATATCGTAATTTGTTGTTGTTGTTGTTATTATCAAGTCAATAATCGTTTTATTTTTACCTTGAAGCTCCAA